GTTAGCCAGGATGGTCTCGATCTCCTGACCTCGTGATCCACCCGCCTCGGCCTCCCAAAGTGCTGGGATTACAGGCGTGAGCCACTGCGCCTGGCACATCTTCAATATTAAAGCCAGAAAATAGAGCTGAACTCAAACTTGGCAAGCAGTGATCAGTGACTGTGAGTTTTTATGTGGACGGTGAGAGATGGAATTTTCCCCTGGAAACTTTACTACAGTAATCACTTTAAAACACTTAAACAATTTGGCAAATATTTTCCTTCCATTTTCAACTCTCTTATTTCCCTGCATGTGCATAAAGTTATCTTTATTGCATATGAAAACTGTTCAATACAAGTCTCAAAGGGTATTTTTGGCTCCCATCCCAACAGCTTCTGTTAGAACAAATGGAAACCATATAGATATAATGATACAGTGAAATGAAGAGATTTGTATTGATCACAAAGTAGTTCTTAGTACCCGTCCTCAAAATCTACTTGTTTTGGCTGATAACTCCACTTTGGAGACCTATGTCCCCAAGAAAAACATGAAAGAGGCTGGGTGCGGTGACTCACACCTGTAATCCCTGCAAATTGGGAAGCCAAAGCAGGAGAATCACTTGAGCCCAGGAGTTCGAGACCAGCCTAGGCAAGATGGCAAGACCCTGCCTCTACAAAAATTAAACGAAACTTAAAAATTAGATGCATGTGGTGGTACATGCCTGTAGTTCCAGCTACTTGATAGGCTGAGGTCAGAGGCTCACCTGAGCTCAGGAGCTTTGATCACTTCACTGCACTCCAGCCTGGGTGACAGAGCAAGACCCTGTCTCTATTTTAAAAAAGAAAATAAAAGAAATCGAAAACCCAAATATTCAGTTGTTGAGTAAGCTCTGATATTAAATCATCAGAGTATAATGTTGCTATTAAAAATCACATTATGGGCTGGGTGTGGTGGCTTATGCCTATAATCCCAGCATTTTGGGAGGCCAAGTTGCTTAAACTCACAAGTTCGAGACCAGCCTGGGTAACATGGCAAAACCCTATGTCTACTAAAAATACAAAAATTAGTCAGGCACAGTGGTGTGCAGCTGTAGTCCCAGCTAGTCAGGAAGCTGAGATGGGGCGGATGACTTGAGCCTGGGAGGCAGAGGTTGCAGTGAGACAGTCTTGCTGCTGTACCCCAGCCTCAGTGATAGAGCCAGATCTTGTCTCAAAAAAATAAAAATGAGATTATGTAGGCTTGAAACAGCTTGTAAATTATAACATCAAACCCTGAAACCAATACTTGTGTATGCATGATGATTATTGGAACTCTGGACACTAAGAAGAATAAAAAGAGAATGCGGTCTTTATGATACAGCAAAGGGGCTCATTGGTTTTTGTTTTGGTTGGTCATTTTGGTGCATATATATAATTTGCCATTGATAAGAGAATGTATCATTAAATTCAAACTGTACACTGCCCACAGAAGGCTGGGGATGCTGTCTGGCTAGGCTGGACTATTAGACCTGTAGTATCCGTCCTGAATTGTCTCATCTTGTTCCTCATCTTCTTTCCTTTTAGGCCTCTGTTTCTGGAGTCCAAGCAGAATTGCTCACATTTCCCAACTCCTCTCCTGGCCTCAGAAGACGGAAGAGAGACTGGGTTATTCCTCCTATCAGCTGCCCAGAAAATGAAAAAGGCCCATTTCCTAAAAACCTGGTTCAGGTAGAGAAAGAAGTTCTCTATTTCTCTGGGAGGGATTTGGCAGAGAAGTACCAAGGAGAGAAACGGAAAAGACCGAATGTTGGGATCCTTCTTTACTAATACTTTTTATTTCATTTTGTTTTCAGATCAAATCCAACAAAGACAAAGAAGGCAAGGTTTTCTACAGCATCACTGGCCAAGGAGCTGACACACCGCCTGTTGGTGTCTTTATTATTGAAAGAGAAACAGGATGGCTGAAAGTGACAGAGCCTCTGGATAGAGAAAACATTGCCACATACACTGTAAGTATCTCTTAGAAGCTTGTTGACACTGGGGTAACATCCATCCAGAATTTTTTGGTCAACCCACATGAGGAGCTTGACACCTCTTGACCTGTTGCTAAGGAGAAATGATGGGAGAATGTGGGACAGTTTGGGGTTGTTAATTTTTCTCCTTGTCAGGAAGAAAGGAAGGAGAATCCCCATGCATCCTCATACAACCAGGGCAAATTTAGACCCAAGATGTCAACCTGTTCTTGGGGCTGGAAGTCCCTGACCTAAAGGAACAGGACAGTGATGATAAAAGGGAACAAAACCCATTTCCTGGGCTTGGCAGCAGCAAGAGCTTGAGGAAACCAAGAAGTTTTTTTTTTTTTTTTTTTTTTTTTGAGATAGAGTTTTGCTCTGTCACCCAGGCTGGAATGCAATAACGTGATCTCAGCTTACCACAACTTCCACTTCCTGGGTTCAAGTGATTCTCCTGCTTCAGCCTCCTGAGTAACTGGATTATAGGCAACTGCCATCACGCCAAGCTGATTTTTTGTGTTTTTAGTAAGATGGGGTTTTACCATGTTGGCCAGAGTGGTCTCAAACTCCTGAACTCAGGTGATTCACCCTACTTGGCCTCCCAAAGTGCTGGAATTACAGGAGTGAGCCACCGTGCCCGGCCTCCAAGAGGTCATTTTTTTTGTTTTGGTTTTGGTTTTGGATTTTTTTTTTTTTTTGAGACAGAGTCTACCTATGTCACTCAGGCTGGTGTGCAGTAGTACAATCATAGCTCACTGCATCCTGGACCTTCTGGGCCCAAGCGACACTCCCACCTCATCTTCCTGAGTAGCTGAGACTAAAGGCGCAGGCCACCACACCCAGCTAATTTTTGTATTTTTTGTGGAAACAAGATCTTGCTATGTTGCCCAGGCTTGAGCTCAAGCAATCTGCCCACCTTGGCCTCCCAAAGTGCTGAGATTACATGAGCCACCATGCCTGGCCAGGAAGTCATATATTGATGCCAAATTCAGAAATATCTGGGGGAAATGCTAGACCAGAACGACCAGAGCAAGTTTCACCCTGCATGGAATAAGAGTTCTTCAGGACCCCACCTTTATCTCTAGGCCTGAAGCCCTGGTCCTCATGTGGGAAATGGGAGGTCTGAGCCAGTGGGGGTGTTCCACTCCATGGGTCTTACCTTGTTATGATCTCATTGAAGCAGCAGCAGCACATGTGTGAGAAAAGTCACCCACTGGGGTCTCAGAGAGTGGGAAGGTGTGGCAGCCCAGGGAGTACACTCTGCTCTGGCCGGGCTCCTTCTGCCACATTTTCTTCCTCATCAGAGCTCAATTCACCCTCACTTGGTTCTTTCAGCTCTTCTCTCATGCTGTGTCATCCAACGGGAATGCAGTTGAGGACCCAATGGAGATTTTGATCACGGTGACCGATCAGAATGACAACAAGCCCGTGTTCACCCAGGAGGTCTTTAAGGGGTCTGTCATGGAAGGTGCTCTTCCAGGTATATCCACTAATGAGAATCTGAATATCCAGAAAGACTCTTAGGTTCTTTGGACCCCAAAGTGTTGTCCAGCCCCGAAGGTTGTGTAACTAAAGCTGACCCTTCCTATGGACAGAACTTCTTGGGAAGCCATTGTTGTGTTATATGCATGTGTATAACAGTCTACCTATGGAAACATATAAAACAGGGAGAGTTTAAGAACAATCTTCCCTTTCTTCTTGTTAAATTTTTTTTTTTAGGCTGGGCATGGTGGCTCACGCCTATAATCCCAGCACTTTGGGAGGCCAAGGCGGGTGGATCACCTCTAGTCAGGAGTTCAAGATCAGCCTGACCAACATGGTGAAACCTCATGTGTACTAAAAATACGAAAAAATTAGCCAGGCGTGGTGGCGTGTGCCTGTAATCCCAGCTACTTGGGAGGCTGAGGCAGGAGAATTGCTTGAACCTGGTAGGTGGAGGTTGCAGTGAGCTAAGATTGCGCCACTGCACTCCAGCTGGGGTGACAGATCCAGACTCTGTCTCAAAAAAAAAAAAATTTATAGAGATAGGGTCTCACTTTGTTGTCCAGGCTACTTTCAAACTCCTGGCCTCAAGCAATCCTCCAACCTCAGCCCCACAAGCTGCTAAGATTATAGGCATGAGTTACTATACCTGGCTAAGAACAACCTTCCTAATTAAGGAACAGATCTTTGCCAGTACCTTAAAGTCCTAAACAATCTCCCTTGATCACATTCTTTTCTCTCTTCCATAAAGATAACCACACCCTAGGCTGGGCACGGTGGTTCATGCCTGGAATCCCAGCACGTTAGGAGGCCGAGGAGGCAGGCAGATCACCTGAGGTCTGAAGTTCAAGACCAGCCTGACCAACATGGAGAAACCCTGTCTCTACTAAAAATACAAAGTTAGCTGGGCGTGGTGGCACATGCCTATAATCCCAGATACTTGGGAGGCCGAGGCAGGAGAATCGCTTGAACCTGGGAGGCAGAGGTTGTAGTGAGCCGAGTTTGTGCCGTTGCGTTCCAGCCTGGGCAACGGGAGCAAAACTCTGTCTCAAAAAAAAAAAAAAAAAGATAACCGCACCCTGACTTTTGTGGTAATCATTCCCTTTCTTTTCTTTATTACCATTTGTGTATTTATACCTGAATAATAAATTGATAGTTAGAGCTTTCTTCCTCCCCTAGCACTTTGGTAAGAATTCTAGGAATTAGAAAATGGGGGAACTCTGACATGGTACCACCCCCATGTCCCCTCCTTTATCCCTCAGGGCAGAATTGGATTAAGCAACACTGACCCTGTCCCAAAGGGTCAGTTTGTCTAAACCTTCATCTCCTTGAACTCTTCCAGGGACCTCTGTAATGGAGGTCACAGCCACAGACGCGGACGATGATGTGAACACCTACAATGCCGCCATCGCTTACAGCATCCTCAGCCAAGATCCTGAGCTGCCTGACAAAAATATGTTCACCATTAACAAGAACACAGGAGTCATCAGTGTGGTCACCACTGGGCTGGACCGAGAGGTCAGGTGTCAGGAGGATCCAGAGGGTGTGGAGGACAAATGTATATTAGCTCAATCCCGTGGACAAAGCAAAATCCTGCTAGGCCACCTGTCAGTTAATACAGTGTTGGTCTGAGCTTTGCATCTAAGCTTCTGCCCAGAGGTTCCGTGCCTAGAAGACAGGCTGACTGGCGTGAAGCAGATGGTTAAATATTCTGGTTCCATGTGTTGGGCTGGGCTAGGCCAGAGGTGGCTGGTAGTCCTGGTCCTAACTTGGTTGCATTGATCTCTCTGCAGAGTTTCCCTATGTATACCCTGGTGGTTCAAGCTGCTGACCTTCAAGGTGAAGGGTTAAGCACAACAGCAACAGCTGTCATCACAGTCACTGACACCAATGATAACCCTCCAGTCTTCAATCCCACCACGGTAATTCTACAACTCCTCAAAGGGTTTCCAAAGAAAGGTCTTTTGTTGTTCGTGAACTAAGTTTCACCACTGCTCAAGGGCAAAGTCTTTGAAAACTCTCTCCAGACTAGCGAATGTTAACTTTAAACTTAAAAGCAAGCATCTTGAGATGGCAGTTGTCTTTTAGCATCTTTTTTCCACCCTTGGCCTGGGGCCAATTGGCTCAAGATTGTGAAGTTGCAAAAAGCACCTACTGATTTCATATCTGCATATGGTACATTTTTATAGCAAATATTACCGGGTTTCATTTCTTCATTGAACATGTATTTTCTAAGTTTATATTAGGCACTGTGTTAGACAGTGGAGATACCATCACACACAAAGCAGACAAAGATTCTATTCTCATGGTGTTTCTACTATAGCTAGGAAGACATCTTATGAGAGTTATTGAACACCAAGGATATTACATGCATTCAAGGAGAAGGTGTTGAGAACCAAATAGGGGAAGTTTAAATCATCCTGTATAATAGCCAGGCGTGGTGGTTCACACCTGTAATCCCAACAAGTTTGGAGGCCAAGGCTATTTGGAGTTTGAGACCAGCCCGGCCTTAAGGACGGAGTTTGAGACCAGCCCGGCCAACGTGGCGAAACCCCGTCTCAACTAAAAATACAAAAATTAGCCAGGCATGTTGGTGCATGCTTGTAATCCCAGCTATTTGGGAGGCTAAGGCACGAGAGTTGCTCGAACCCAGGAGGTGGAGGCTGCAGTGAGCTGAGATTGCACCATTGCAACCCAATGTGCCCATTGCCTGGTCTCTCCTCATCACATCTGCTCCTCGAAGCTTGCTTTCAGTTAGCCAAGTGTGGTGGCGCATGTGTGTGGTCCCAGCTACTCTGGAGACTGAGGTGGGAGGATTGCTTGAGCTCAGGAGGTTGAGGCTACAGTGAGCCATGATCGCTCCAATACACTCCAGCCTGATGACAGTGAGATCCTGTCTCAAACAACTAAAAAAGAGGATTCCTTTAGCCCCCTGAGACTCAGCTCTGCTAGCAGTCTTGGTACTTTGTAAATGACCCATCTCTTTCCTCTGCAGTACAAGGGTCAAGTGCCTGAGAATGAGGCTAACTTCGTAATCACCACACTGAAAGTGACTGATGCTGACGTCCCCAATACCCCAGCGTGGGAGGCTGTATACACTATATTGAATGATAATGACGGACAATTTGTTGTCACCACAAATCCAGTGACCAACGATGGCATTTTGAAAACAGCAAAGGTTTGTATGGTACCTGGCAAGATGCAGAAACTGGCATCCTCGAAGCTGTTCATGCCCTTGTCCCCTGGTATCTTCTTAGAAGTAGATTCGCTTTGGCAGGGGGACAGGGTGACTTTCCCAGATTCTAGTGGACCATTTGGGGTTTGCAGTGGCTCTTCCTGCCCATGTAAGAAATCAAGAAACTGGGCTGGGTGTGGTGGATCACGCCTGTAATCCCAGCACTGTGGGACGCTGACGCAGGTGGATCACGAGGTCAGGAGTTCGAGTCTCTGCTAAAAATACAAAAATTAGCTGGGCATGGTGGCACATGTCTGTAATCTCAGCTACCCGGGAGGCTAAGGCAGAAGAATTGCTTGAACCTGGGAGGTGGAGGTTGCAGTGAGCCGAGATCGCACCATTGCATTCCAGCTCTGGGCAGCAGAGCAAGACTCCATCTCGGGGGGGGGGAAAAAGAGGCCGGGCATGGGGGCTCATGCCTGTAATCCTAGCACTTTGGGAGGCCAACGCGGGCAGATCACAAGGTCAAGAGATCGAGATCATCCTGACCAACATAGTGAAACCTCATCTCTACTAAAAATACAAAAATTAGCTGGGCGTGGTGGCGTGCTCCCACTACTAGCGTGGTCCCAGCTACTAGGGAGGCTGAGGCAGGACAATCACTTGAACCTGGGAGACAGAGGTTGCAGTGAGCCATGATCGTGCCATGCACTCTAGCCTGGCAACAGAGTGAGACTTCGTCTCAAAAAAAAGAAATCAAGAAGCTAAGGCTTCTTGATGGCTCATGGTGGCTCATGCCTGTAATCCCAGCACTTGGGGAGGCCAAGGGGGACAGATCACCTGAGGTCAAGAGTTTGGGACCAGCCTGGACAACATGGTGAAACCCTGTCTCTACCAAAAATACAAAAATTAACCGGATGTGGTGGTGCACACTTGTAATCCCGGCTGCTTGGGAGGCTGAAGCAGGAGAATTGCTTGAGCCTAGAAGACAGAGGTTGCAGTGAGCCAAGATCACGCCACTGCACTCTGGCCTGGGCAACAGAGTGAGACTCTGTCTGGAAAAAAAGAAAGAAGAAATCAAGAAGCTCTTACACAGGATCCTGAAATTGAAAAAGGCTCTTTCCCAAAACATTCTCCTTCCCTTAGCTCTTTCCATTTTGCAATGAGAGGGAAAATGATTTACTGGTCTCTGCTCTTGTGCTGGTTTATTTTAGAAGTGGGGCAGATATGGTTGTTTTTGAAAAATGTCCTAGAAACTTGAAAACTAGCCAAGCACAGTAGTGCATGGCGGTGGGTCCAACTACTTGGGAGGCTGAGGTGGGAGGATCACTTGAGCCCAGGGGGTTGACACTGCACTGAGCTATGATCATGCCACTGTACTCCAACCTGGGCAATATAACGAGACTCCGTCTCTTTAAAAAAAAAAAAAAAAAA